AAGGGTTCGGATCCCACGTACAGACCGGCTGCTCACTGGCTGAGCGAGGTGCGGACGCAACACCGAGGGTTGCGATCCCGTTGCCGGTCCCGGTCCGGTACGGGTGCAACACTGAGGTGATTTATATCACAACTCAACCACCTACTTAGTGAAATTCTCATTTAGACATTAAAACTGCTACCTACCCGTTCCTGAGCCCGATTCAACATGCTCATGGCTTCAAGGTCAAATGCATTCTCACTGAGTCTTTTCTGAGCAAGTGCCCGTTCACTCATTGCAGTTGAAATGTCCACAGGCTATGAAAGAAAACACAGATAATTATCTCAAATTACCACAGTCACCTAAATTATGAAAAGTGCTCCTATCTTTAGTTGCTACATATCAAAAAACAAAATAACAGTCTTACTAATAATCTTGGAAAGAGGGGAGAAGACTCAGTAAAGTAAGCCTAAATTATGAAAAGTGCTCCTATCTTTAGTTGCTACATATCAAAAACAAAATAACAGTCTTACTAATAATCTTGGAAAGAGGGGAGAAGACTCAGTAAAGTAACCTTGGAAAGTAGATGAGGATTAAGGTAAGTTACAAAAAGATCAGAGGCAGCAGAACCCACCCCAAAATCTGACTAATTTCAGTATATTTTCTACTGTATCAAACTATAATCATAGAAAGTTCCTCTAGGAACTTAATCTCTAGCCTTCAGCAACAAAAGTCACGTAAACTGAGAATTTTTGGAACTTGTAAATTTTATACTAACAGTTTTCATTTTACCCTATTTATTAGCATAACCTTCAAAAGCAGAAAGCAAAGTTCTTGAATAAGCAAGTAGAAAATCATTATGGTGTCAATGATCTCTTCTTTACACATCAGCACACCTTTTCACCTCACAGTTGTACATGAATATAGTCTGGTCTTACAAACCCAGTTTCTTCTAAGAATATATTCAGTGTATAAGTAAATCTTTTATTTTCAGTTTCCATACATTTATTACTGGAGTTAAAATATTTCCCTGGAAGTCCACAGTAACAATTGAAACATTTTTAAATGAGTTATGTTTGAAAAGTCGTAGGTCCCCCTTTTCAAAGCTCATATTCTACCTTTTAAAACTTTATGCTAAGCAAAGGTAATTTTATGTTTTAACTTTTTGAAAAAGGATCTTTAGAGCAAATTCTGTTTGTCAGATTTGTGGAAGGCTTAACCATAGAAGAAAAACCTATCAAGTAAGTACTTAATGTTTTTTGTTCTATAATTAAGATCTCAAGTTGATGTGTATCAACTAATTCTTGATTTTTTCTTTTAATACCACTTAAGCATTTTATTATTTTTCAAGTTATTCATAAAATGCTTATCTGAAATGGGAAGGTTTTGCTGTCTGCATATACGAAGAATGATTAATACGTGCTGCATTATATATGACAGAAGGAAGTCAATAAAATAGCTAACAGCTAAGAATTTTCATTTTTAAAAGAGCCTAGCTGTAATCAGACTGTTTTGTGTATGAATTTTTTTTACCATCACTTTATAGATAAGGATGAAATACTTCTTTTAAAAAATAAGATCTATATAGTAAAGAAAGCTGTATGACTGAAAGAATAATTGTATCTCATACACAAGGATTCATTAATCTTACTTTTCCTACCTTCGGAATCCCTTAATCAGTCCATCATTCTTAGTTATCTTACTGAATTCACTTAATATTCCTTGAGCTAAATCAAGTTTTTCCTTTCTCAAAGTTTAGATTCTTATATAATGCTTTCTTAAAATAAAGGCAAAATTAAACTGAATTCATTCTGTAATTGTTTATTAGAGTATTTACAGATCTCTTGAATGAAAAATCTCAATTTATAAACTTAGCAAATTATCATACAATTTAGAATATTTCTGAGGCTTATAAGAAATAATTAATCTAAGCAAATTTGGATTGAAATGTTTACACCTTTCACTTCTACTGTAGTTCTTTCTGATTCTTGGGACCTTAAATGGGAACACACATATTTCAGGCCAAAATTTATGTCCTGTACCCTAGGTCTACCTTAGATGTTTCCTAAAATTGTCAAGTAAGATTATCAAGAAAATTTTTGAAGGCCCATCAAATAAGACAAATACTGTCTCATTAACCTTCCCAGACTTACACTAGTTTTCATGGCAATCTATATAAATCTAAATATTAGGGTGCTTAGGCATAAATAGGATTTTATTCTGGAAAGGCTGAACTCAGAGAGGATACTGGGGAAAATGTGTCTCCCCACCATCCCCAAGCTCTGATCCGCAGTTTCCAACTATAAATTAAACGTAAACATGTATTTAGATGGCTCTGAAAACCCTTCACTTTTCTAGAATAAAACTAATTCTTTCCAAGTAGAAAGTAAATGAATATACCTATCTGTTAATTCATCCTTCTAGAGACATTTTAAATCACTATACTTTTCTCTTTTAAATTTACTTTAGATAAAATTACAACTATTTTTACTAATAGTACAACTTCACTTATTCTTCAGCAGGCTTACCAAGGGAGCTGTAAGTTCATGCCAAGTACTATCAAATACTAATCTATTAATTTCATATTCATATTGGTTAAATGTGAAAAAATATACAACTAAGAATGAATCAACACTATCTTAACTTCTTAAGAATCCTCAGGAATTTATATCAAAAAGTCTTTTCAATTTTCAAGGTAATTCAGGTTATGCAATAATGCAAAGAAAGCCAACTATAACCCCCAAAGTATTAATATTCAAGGGTCAGACCTCGTGTTACATATCAGTATTAAAACACTCATTAAATACCACAGCTACCCTTTAGAGCATCACTGTCCAATAGAACTTTCTGCAGTGAGATCTCCTGAGCATTTGAAATGTGGCTAGTATGATTAAGACACTGATTTTTTTCAGTGGTTGGTGACTACTATATTGGACAATGTAGCTTTAGAATGTTAACCATCCTTTAATATTGTTCAGAAACAGGAAATGTGGGAAAGATACCAAAATGATGCTAAAAGCCCTCCTAAAAACTGGGAAAAAGAGAATCTTACATTTCTAGAACACTGTTATCAAGTTGTCATCAACAAGCCTTACTTGTTTTCACTGATACATTATACACTAGCTTGCGACCCAATGTATAAAAATGATTGTGTCATAACGTTCTAGTATTATAATAGGGGAAATATTTAACTTCCTTTTCTTTAATATTTGTTCTGAAAGGTAAAATCTACATTTAAAAAGTTCTGAATTATAACTCTGATTCTCATATTAGTAAAAACTGCCCAAATTCTTTAATCTCTCTACTTCAGCAACAAAGCAGATTACTACTATTCCTAAAACCCACAAAGGTGTCAGGTGTAATGAAATACATAATACAATTACATAAGTATACTTTTTATATCTTTATTTCTCATTGTAAAAAATTCTTCTAAATCAATTTACTCCCCTTTTGTTAACCCAACTATTTACATAAACAGAACAAGTACCTTTAAAATTTCTTAGAATGTCAGTGAAAGGATATAAAAGAACTAAAGATAATTGTTAGGATGGGGTAAGGAAAATAATTCCTATAACAAGAAAATTATTTTCTATACAGGTTATTGCAGATATCTCAAATTAAAAGGCATAAAAGGAAAATTTTAATTATAAAAAGCATCTGGCCTGTATATAAAATGTGATATTAAAATATTTAGCAAAAATTAATAAAATATAAAGAGGTTCATATATAAACAAGCAAAATGACAACTACAAAAATAAAGCCACACTAAACACAGCATGTCCCAGTTATTACGTGTTTGATTGGTTTTAAAAGTGAATTATAAGTCTTTTTATTATATCATACAAAATTCTCTAATGTGTAACTCTTAGATGAATCTAAATGAATTATAACAGGAAAACAACCTATTAAATGGTTCAGAGAAATTCAGTGTTAACCACCTAGGAGAATCTAGGGAAAAACAAATGAATAACAAGTCTGTATATCACACATTCTAACAGTGGTAGGACCTATGTGTTTCATTTCCAATTAAAATTCCAGCTTTCCTACATTTATACATTTAGAGGTTCTAAATTTAGAATTTTAGTTCCACTGGGATGTGGAAATATGATTCAATACAAACCTAGCACACTGCTTGAAATAAACGTGATCTTAACATCTAAGCAATCAATAGACTTTAATGGAGCTACCTCTAGACCCCTAAAAACATGACTGATACTAAACCCACAAACTCCACACTAGTTGTTATGAGTACAGTTATTAATTACTCCACTTAAGACAATTCTTTAAAAGTTTAAATCTTCTATCCAATAAGCCTTTGCTAACTTTATTACCAAGAACTAATTTCCCTGAGGACTATCTAAGTTTTTCAACATTTTTTATTTCACTGTTTATAAAGCTATAAATCAAATTCACACAAATATGGTCAAAGTTCTGTAGTCACTCTTTACTGAGGATGATGCTGGGTGGTTTCTGGGTAGAAAGACGATGCTACAGCAGTAGAGCACAGAGTCTGATGAGTTGTTTTTCCACAAGATATGCATTTATGCTGATCCATCCAAAATGTCTATCCACTCATACTTACGAAGAGCACTCATGTGCAAGAAAATTGGTGGGGTTAGGGAGTATAGCAAAGTTAATTTGGCCCTTAGGGAAATAAAATCTATGGTCTTTGCCTAAATGTTTTACACTCAGGACTAAAGAACCACAAACCCCATTTATATTTATTAAAATGAAGAAGACTGACAGATAAAAAATAATACTAGTTAAAAAGTTGACCATTTAAGAGAACTTTCCTTTTATTCTAGAAAGCCTTTATTTCAAATTCTAACAGGAAATCAAAAAGGTCAATGCTCCCATAAAATGTCACCAAAGGTATCCACCAACATTGGCATATAGAACACTGATTTTACAAATATAGTATAATTAAATGGTAGCTAAATAACTAGAACTAAACATTTTATATTATTAACATTCTTCTAGGTGTTTCACATTATTGCTAGATGAAAGTACAGAGATTTGAAAGCAAAATACAATCCTATTCCTCTTCCCCCTAACATTTTGGGATTCTTTTGTTTAGAATTAAAGTTAATCTATATATTCTTTGACTCTCATCTTCTAAGTGGCTTGAAGACTTCTTATAGCAAATAGTTGTACATGCCTTCCTACAAAAGACATCTGCTTCATTCCTTTAGCCCTCTAAACAGAACGGTTTTTTTCTCCTGTTTTAAGACTCCTTTACTCAATTTTATAATTATTAACCTTTTCTATCAACCTTTCCCCCCAGAATTCTTTAGAATAATGCTCCTCAACCTTTAATTAAAATCTGACAACCACTTTTGATGACTGAAAAGGCTTAAGGTAAGGCATCACACTGACAGTGTTAAGACTGAAAATGACAGTACTAAATTTCAAATATATATACACATGCACTCTCTCTCAGTCAAAAAGAAATGTAGTTATTAGGATTTACCAAGCACTTTCCCCATGTTCAACTGAAGAAAGTCGAAACAGTTATGGTCACTTCTCTGGAAAATCCCTTGGAATTGTGCAATATTTATAGGCCCTCACACCACTGGAAAATTTTTCACATATAAAGACTCTCCATAGAGAGTCTGCAAGAAAGTAATTACTAAATGCATATGTATCAGGATTTCTAAGTATGTCCATGCAGCCCTCTTATCATGGTTTATATTTAGCTACTACAAGATTAAGTTAGCTCCAAGTGTCTGTTAACCTTTCCCTCTTGAGATGTGCAGATAGCCTGATTTACGGATTAGCAACTGAGCTACTCAACTGGTTTCACTTAAATATTTTTTTAAACCAACTATTCTTCCCTCACTGGTGTTGGTATAACTTGCTTCAATTGTTGAACCCCATGTGAATATAGATCATCTCCTGTGACTCTAAGTTGCATTGGCTAGTTAGCATGTCCAGCTCATTGTACACAACTTGTTCCCTTTCAAAATGCCACAAGTCAAAAAAACACAGTGAAAATGTCGCCTGTGAACAGCTCAGGGGGAAAAAAATACTATCAAAAAGTTTCTGATTTGGGTTCTGTTCACTTTCTGATTTTATAAACAGGGTTTTTACTTGTAGAATTGGAGGTGTTTACTGGAAGATGATGATATGGCCAATGACAGGAACCTGAAATGAAGAGTACAGGTCTCTCTGACCTACATATCCCAGAACTGCAAGAAAAAAAAGTCCATAAGGGAATCAGATATCTAGTCCAGTCTTGGACAAATGTCTGGGCTTTGGAAACCAAGGGTAAGAAGTGATGACAACTAGTCTATGTTATCATTTAAAATTCCCACCCCCCTAGTAAGTCTCCACCCTCCCAGTTCCCCCAAGCGTGATTTTGCACAACAAGTTAAATAAAAGTAAACTGTTTATTAAAAGATACAGCAAAGGTACAGATACAGAGATACATACAAAGATACAGATATATATATATTTACATATATATACAGTCTTGCTGTTTTCATGTGCACTATATTTAGCAGCACATTATTTAATCAGGCGGCATTTTAATGGGGTTGTTTTGACACTTGGCATTATTACTGAGTCATTTTGACAAGATACAACTATAGCCTCCTGGAAATTTCAAATTGTGAATTCCACTTCTCCAACTTTTAATAGTAGCAAAAAGGGGAAGGAGAATGGAATGGAGTTCCAAGGCTGAGCATTAGGTTAAACACAAGAATTCAAAAGGGCCAATTCAAAGGGAAAGGAAAATGATTAAAACTAAAAGCTATCTGACAACCCAGAGAAATAGCAGGAAACCATCCTTTTAAGGACAATGGGCTGTGTACCCAGAATGCTCACATCAGCCTACAATGACCTTTTCCAACCCAGTTCTTGTGTTGAACCTGAGGATCTGCTTCTCTTTGCTCAATCCCTCCACCCAGTAAATTTGCTACCACCAAAATCTAGAGCTATAGAGCCTTGAAGCAAAACGAGAAGCTAAATAGTTGTACCTTGGGCTACCTTCCCACAAGTGCAAAGAGGGCCCAATGTTGGGTAGGGATGTGATAACACTGTTCTCTGCAATTCGATGCTTTTCACTTTGTGGCTTCGTTCCACAAAGTGAATTGCATCGAGTTACTGTCAAATGAGAAGCTGCGGGCTGTTTCATCTGTCGTCTAACCCGGCCCTGCCGTTTAACCCGGCCCTAAGAAGAGTGAAACAGAATCCAAATCAGATATAAAGTAACAATAAAATGGCAGATTCAGGTATAAAAAAGGAAAAATACCTAACACTCCTCTTACTTACCTCCGAAGGCAAATTGCTGCTGAAAACATTATCATCATCTTTGTTTTCTTCACCATTTTTCTCTACAGGAACCCACTCTCCATAAACACTATCTGCTTCTTTTTTTCGATGCTGAGATCCAGATGACACAGGAAATTCTTTTGTTAATGTTACCTGGCTTTTTGGTGGAGTTGGCTTTGCTGCAGCAATCTAAAAAAAACAAAGGTTTTCTTAATTAAAAACTCAGTATAACAAATACCTACACTAAATGGTTTCTGAGGATTTTCAATATAATCTGAAGAAAATTATTTCTCAGAGTATTTAAACCAAAAATTAATAAACTAAATTCCTTTTGTGTTTTGTTTAAATAGTCACCTAAGTTGTGTATTTCATCAATCCAGAAGCACTAATACTCACATTCAGATTGAAAAAAATGGGCTTGGGTTCACTGAGTTTAAAGGGATGATGATAAAAAGGAGGTTCCTCTTCCTCTTCGTCCGAAACGTGAGGTTTATTCACTATTACATCATCATCTTCTTTACTCTGTGCGATCTGTTTGCATTTCTTTAAAAGTAAAGACAAAAAATAAATCTTACGCTTTATGTAGAACGACATGTAATTTCTTAAAAAGAATCAAAACCACATAAAAATCAACTTTCAAAAGTTAAACATGATTAATGATAGGTTTTAGATAGGAATTTAGCTTATTAGCCATTATTTAAACACACTCTGGCTGGTCAGTCAACAACATTTATTGAGCACCTACTAATGTGCAGAGCACTGTACTGGGCACTGTCTGGGGAATACAAAAAAAATTAGAAGACATGGTCCCTGCTCCCAAGGAGCTTACAATCTAGTACAAGAGACAGAATACATATACATGAAATAATTGAAGAACGCTTTTACAGAGCAACACAATAACAAGTGCAAACTCATATAATACAAACTGAGTATGTAAGTGCTAAAAGAACAAAGGCTTAAGAGAGAACAGAGTCAGGCAGAGTTAGAGAATCAAGGAATAATCCTTGAAGATTTGTAAGCCAGATTTTCATAATGAAGAACACGGATTGGTAGGGAAAGAAAAAGAAAGTCATCCTACCCTGATGGTGGTAAAAAGGTGAGAAGAAACTTGTTAGAAAGGACAAGAGGGCTGAAGATGAGGCTTAAAACATAGCAAAATACTAAGTGTCCATAGTTTTGGATAAGGAGTTTGGATTTGGTAAGTAAGCAACAGAAGCTCTTACTAGGTCCTTAATTTTTTTTTTAAAGTTGTAATTTATATTGTAATAAAATCTAAGCAAGGAAACAAATTAAGAAGTTTTCTGATCCCCAATTACATCGCAAAATAAAAGATTTGAAACATCTGCAACAGGATTAGATAGTAATATCTTTCTCCATAAATGTTTTGTAATTTGAATCTCTTAAGGAATAGAACTTAAGAATGGAAAATAAGGCATGATGAAGAGGGTACAACTAATGAGGTCTGACATACAAGGAAAGTCAATTCCTTCCTGAGAAGCTAAGGAACAGACTCCATTACCTGGCTTTATAAAAAGGTCAGAGTAAATTTGGGTAGACCTGTCTCTATATAAGCAGTAGAATTTGTCACATCTATTATCAATTGAAAATATTACAATAGGATAAAAAGCTCATTTAGCCAAAAACACAGAATATATCAAGCTTGTAACCCAGGGAACAGAATATATTGACAGTGGCAGGGCTGGCATAAGGCTAGCCAATGACAAGTTTCAATATATGAAACTGGTATTTCTGGATCCTAGCAGCAATATTTCAGCATCTCCCCCCCAAAACAAAATAATAAAACAAAGCTCCCCCCATCCCCCAAAGAAAGACTCAATTGAAAAGATCGAATTTTTAAAAACAAAAATAAATGTTTAAAATATATGTTACTGCCAAAACCCGAACCGCAGGAAGAACTGATAATGACCGGCCATTATCGCCAATGGCTGGTACCAAACAGCCAAAACCCGAAATGTTGATGCGAAAGAAGTTCCTTTCAGGCAATGGCCAGCTATTCTCATTAATTTCCAAGCTCCGGTGGCAAAAGATCATTTCTGAAGATTGTCTGTGTCTTTGCGTATATGCAGTACACTCGTGGCGATCAGTGAACACGTCGTGAATGGAAACTGTAGGCGAGCTTCTGCGTGTTGCTCACTCAACACCTCCTCCATTCAAACGAACCGTCTCACTCCTCAGTCAGTTTGGCTTCTAAAACTGGAAAGCAAAAGTAATGGGAAGTAACTTTTAGCTAGCGGAGCTTAGCCATCCCGGATAATGGCCTGCTAAACAGAGCTTCTGCCGCTGCCACATCTGTATTTCGGGTTTTGGCCACTCGGTGCCAGCCATTATCAGTTCAGCCCACAATTCGGGTTTTGGCACGCTCCAGAGTCAAGATCACTGGAATAATCCATTTAAGAATGAAAACAAATTCTGTCTAGCTTACCTCAGTTAGTTCTTCTATAGTAGCTCCTCCTGACTTTTTAGCAACTTTCTCTTCTATTGTAGGTGGAGGTGCAGGCTTTAGGTTTGGCGGTAAAGGAACACCAGCCTTAGCACACATGGCAGCTGCATTAGCTTTGGCTATTTCAAGTAATTGAGCCTTATCTGTAAGAGGAAAAATAATAAGTTTTTTCTAAGACTGTACATTTTGTATTATCAAAAATCCTATATGCTAATAACATTAAGGCATCAATTTTCTGCCCTAATTTATAGCTGTGATCAAAGCACTCTGACTCAAAGTTTTTAAGCAGTGGTCCCTTATTTAAAGAATTAAGTCCACATTGAGCTTCCCATTCAAATACTACAGAAAATAGCCACCTTACTATACAACTATAATGATCACCCTGCCACACACACTCTAAGACAGAAACCTGCCAAAGCCAACTTTATTTCCCAAAATTATCAAAACCTTAGATTACTCTCTTAATCTGACATCTTAAATCACTCTTTGAGCCCAAGTTCAAGTGCCACCTCTTCTAACAAGTCTTCATTAAGTCAGAATTAACATTCCTCTTCACTGTGTTCCTAAAGTGCCTCACCTATACCAGTAAGTACTACAGTAAGTAACCATCACATTCTGCCCTTTTTGGCAGTTTTGCTATTTGGCAAAAGAGACATTTGTATGCATTTTACCCATGTCTCCTCCACTGACCTGTAGTCTCTTTCAAAATTATATATCGTTCCTCTGCTATGAATAAAAACACTCAGAAGACTTTTGTTGATCTGAATGTACACTATCCCTTATTATTCTTACTGTCTTTTTCTTTACACAGTCCTGACCTAGAAATGTCCAATCTAATGGAATGATAAATTATCCATACTCATTGCAGGTAATCATGCATTACCTATCAAGTTTTAGTCACCTCTGCACACTACTTAAAATCAGGGAAAATTAGACATTTATTTTTCAAGTAAAACTGAATAGATTATTAAAAATCACTCTGATCTAATAAATTTCACTTTATTTAGCTAGTATCACCCACCACTTAACTCCCCACATGCAAAATTCCCTACTCACTTCTATTACCAACTATACCAATCAGAATTAACTTCACAAGCAATTAACAGCCCTATATTGCCATTTTAAGATATGTTAACTTACTTTTAAAAATTATAACTTTAGGCATGTTTATGAGTATGTATGTTGTAATACATACAGTATCTGAGCATCCTATCCTTGTTTTTAATTTAATTCTATATGTATATCTGCTTCTACTTTCCATTTTTAGTTACGGCAAGATGGTCCAAGCAAAATGAAACATTCAAGTATGGAAACACCTCGATTCTAATATTACTACAAAGCAGGTCTTTTTAACTCCAAACGTACTGCACTATCCCTGTATTTTCTATTTTTCTGAAACTTACTGGTACAAGAATCAAACCCTGGCTGGATCCTGGTGTTATCAGCACCACACTCAACATCTGACCTAACTGGCCAGCCCTATTCCTATATTTTCTGAACAGAGGCTAATCTAACCATTAAAAATTTAATATTTATCCTAAACCAATAACCCAAAATATTCCATTTGACTTAAGATCAGAAAAAACTCAGGTTTACATCACTATTGCAATACCATTAAATTTTAAAATAACGACTCACCCAAATCTGTCAGACGTTTGGGTGATCTGCCTCTTTCAGAAGACCTGGATCTTTTACGACGGATGGGTGATCTACTAAACCTTCTCCTCAAGGGTGTTCTTGATCGCCTTAATCTGACTGGTGATATACTGAAGCTTCGTCTTCTTACCACAGACCTTGATCTTCTCCGTCGGCTGGGGGTGCGGCTCCGCCGGCTAGGGGTGCGGCTCCGCCGGCTGGGGGTGCGGCTCCGCCGGCTAGGGGTGCGGCTCCGCCGGCTGGGAGTGCGGCTCCGCCGGCTGGGGGTGCGGCTCCGCCGGCTAGGGGTGCGGCTCCGCCGGCTGGGAGTGCGGCTCCGCCGGCTGGGGGTGCGGCTCCGCCGGCTAGGGGTGCGGCTCCGCCGGCTGGGAGTGCGGCTCCGCCGGCTGGGGGTGCGGCTCCGCCGGCTAGGGGTGCGGCTCCGCCGGCTGGGAGTGCGGCTCCGCCGGCTGGGGGTGCGGCTCCGCCGGCTAGGGGTGCGGCTCCGCCGGCTGGGAGTGCGGCTCCGCCGGCTGGGGGTGCGGCTCCGCCGGCTGGGGGTGCGGCTCCGCCGGCTGGGGGTGCGGCTCCGCCGGCTGGGGGTGCGGCTCCGTCTGCTCGGGGAAATGCTGAAGCTCCTTCTTCTACCCACAGACCTAGACCTTCTTCGACGACTCGGAGTGTGACTCCGACTCCGACGGCTTGGGGTGCGACTTCGAGCTCTTACTGTTTTCCGGTTATCCCTGGAGCTTGATCTTTTTCTTTTTCTTTCCCTGGACTTGGATCTGTGCTTTGGAGATCTTTTGCGCTTCTCTTTTGATACAGATCGCCTTCCTCTAGACTTTGATCTTGACCTGCTGCTCCTCCTCCTGCGTCGCGACCGTGACCGTGACCGTGTTTGAGAGCGATGAGACTTAGACTTAGATGATCTCTTCCTTGCCCTGGAACGAGACTCACTGGTACGCTTGCGTGATTTGTGTTCAGAAGACTTGGAACGCTTACTTCGAGATCTTAATGAAGAATCTCTTTTCTTCTCTTTCTCACCTTTGTCACGGTTCTTATTTTTCTTGCTTTTTTCATGTGTGTCCTTAACTTTAACAAAAATTTCATAATCATCCTTTTCCTCTGAAGAAGACTCTGAAGCTCTTTCTGGTATATTAGTTACAACTGGACTGGCAACAGATTTGTCACGTTCAACTTCACTTGCAAGTAAAGGTCCTTCAAGACCAGCTCTAAGGCTTGTAAGACGTTCCATGTCCTTGGGAAGTAAGGGTCTCACTAAATCTGCTTCATTAATATCATCAACATTGGCAGAAAATCCTGAATCAGATGGTATCTCTTTAGTAGAGAGAGGTACTTCATCTTCTCCACTACTTTCTTTAGGGCTGAGAACAACTGATGTCTGGTCACTCTCTTTCACAGGTAATGGTTCTTCTGTACCCTTACTAACAAGATTAGTTGGTAAGTCAAGATGAATGTCTTTAGCAGGCAAAGGTCCCTCTATGTCAGCTTCACTACCACCACTGGGGCTGGTGGAAATTATCATGTCATGTTCAGTATCTTGAGTAGTTAAAGATTCTTCAACATCATATTTATTAACTAAACTGAGAGCAGATGATGTGATAAATTCAATATCCTTACTAATTTCTGTTGCATCAGGTTCCAGAGCAAGAGGACCAGTAGAAGATAGAGTTCCTCCATCAATTTCATTAACACCAGGGCAGGTATCCAATACTGTGCATTGTTTAGTCTCATTGCGGGGTAAAATGTTCTCTGCACCAATTTCACCAACAGGATCAGTGCTAGCAGCAGACACTGTATTATGTTCTACCTCTTTAGCAATTAAATGATTATTTATATTAAGATCTATAGTCATACCATGTTCACTTTCGTAAGAGTCACTTTTCTGGTATCCTTCAGCATGTGTCTCTTCACCTGAATGCAATGGAATCTCCTGCATGCCTATCTCTGGAGCAAGATTTTGATCACCAGACAGTAAATTCATTCCTTTCATAACATGTGATGAAGATATAACACTGGACTCCAGTATCATTGATGCAGATTCTAAAACTATCTCAGTTGATATTACCTGAGTCTGCTCTGAGACAGTAACAGCAGGCTCTGAAATTGTCACAGTGGATTCCTGGAAAGAAACAGATGGTTCTGAAACAATTATAGCAGGTTGAAGGACTGACGCCACTGGTTCCAGGACAGGCACAGCAGGCTCCAGGGCAGAAACGACTGGCACAGGAATGTTAACAAGCTCTGGCTCAGCCACAGCCAGAGGTTCAAGGACAGCCACGGCCAGAGGTTCCGGGACAACCACGGCCAGAGGTTCTGGGGCAGCCATGGCCAGAGGTTCCGGGGCAGCCACGGCCAGGTGCTCCGGGGCAGCCATGGCCGGGGGCTCCGGGACAGCCACAGCTAGGGGCTCTAGGGTAGCCATGGCTGGGGGCTCTGGGACAGCCATGGCAAGAGGCTCTGAGGCAGCCATGGCCAGAGGCTCCAGGGAAGCTATGGCTGGCGGTTCCAGAATGCTGCTCTCTGCTGGCTCTGGAATGGTTACTGCTGGCTCCAGCAAGGATGTAGAAACCTCTGAAACAGTATGTCCTGAAGCCCTCAAGGAATCAAATATTTCTGCTGTCTCTGATATAATAGGAGGCTCTGATGTTAACTCAGTTGGTTCAGCTGACACTATGGGAGTTTCGGACACCATAGAAATCTCTGGTCTCTCTGGAACAATTTCATGTTCTTCTGCTACTACACCAGACTCTACAGGTGTTGATGTAACTGAAGACTCTGGCTCTAGTGGTTCTGGAACAGTCACGGCAGCCTCTGACGCTAACACAGAAAGCTCTGGTGCAGATACTGAATAATTAGCAGGCACTGCTGAAAGCTCTGAAATCTCACTTTGACTAACAGGAGGCTCAGGTTGTGATACAGACTCTTCAGTAGGTAATGCTGGCACCTCTGTAGGCCAAGTATTTTCAGCTGTTAATGCTGACTGCTCAGTGGGTAATGCCTGACCCTCTGGTGGTTCCTCAGGAGGCAATGGTGGCGTCACAGGTGGCTCCTCGGGTGGCAAAGGTGGCATAGTTGGGGGCTCTTCAGGAGGCAAAGGTGGCACCATATATGCCTCTGTGTATGTATCAGTGTAAGAATCAGTGTAAGAATCTGCTGCCATAGACATCATTGAACGATCAGCAGTATAAGATGACATCATAGATCGGTCAGCTGCAGAGTACGATGACATCATAGACCGGTCAGCAGCAGAGTATGACGACATCATAGACCGGTCAGCACCCATGGACATCATAGATCGATCAGCCATTGGTGACATCATGGAGCGCTCATAAGCTGACATCATAGAGCGTTCATAAGCTGACATCATAGAGCGCTCAGCCATAGGGGACATCATAGAGCGCTCATAGGCTGACATCATAGAGCGCTCATAGGCCGACATCATAGAACGCTCAGCCATAGGGGACATCATGGACCGCTCATATGACATCATAGAACGTTCATAAGATGACATCATAGAACGTTCTGCAGCATAGGACATCATCATAGAACGTCTAGATGCTAACATCAGGGGTCTCGGTGCTAACCTGTATGGCCTGGGTGCTATTCTATAGGACCTAGGTGCTATCCTATAGGGTCTAGGTGACATCCTATAGGGATCAGGAGTTAGTCTGTAGGGATCATGGCCTAATCTATAGGGGTCCTGTCCTAACCTGTAAGCATCATGACCTAATCTGTAGGGGTCATGACCCAACCTATAGGGATCCTGAGCTAACCTGTAAGGATCCTGAGCTAACCTGTAAGGGTCAGGAGATTTTGAACCCAACATAGAAGAATCTTGGGTACTAGACGCTAACATCTGGGCATCCATGGTACCAGACGCTAACATCTGAGCATCCATGGTGCCAGAAGCTAACATCTGAGAGTCCATGGTGCCAGATGCTAACATCTGGGAGTCCATAGAGCTAGTTGCTAACATCTGGGAGTCCATGGTGCTGGTTGCTAACATCTGGGAGTCCATGGAGCTGGTTGCTAACATCTGGGAGTCCATGGAGCTGGTTGCTAACATCTGGGAGTCCATGGAGCTGGTTGCTAACATCTGGGAGTCCATGGAGCTGGTTGCTAACATCTGGGAGTCCATGGAGCTGGTTGCTAACATCTGGGAGTCCATGGAGCTGGTTGCTAACATCTGGGAGTCCATGGAGCTGGTTGCTAACATCTGGGAGTCCATGGAGCTGGTTGCTAACATCTGGGAGTCCATGGAGCTGGTTGCTAACATCTGGGAGTCCATGGAGCTGGTTGCTAACATCTGGGAGTCCATGGAGCTGGTTGCTAACATCTGGGAGTCCATGGAGCTGGTTGCTAACATCTGGGAGTCCATGGAGCTGGTTGCTAACATCTGGGAGTCCATGGAGCTGGTTGCTAACATCTGGGAGTCCATAGTGCTAGAGGCTAACATCTGGGAGTCCATGGCGTTGGACGCTAGCATCTGGGAGTCCATGGCGTTGGATGCTAGCATTTGGGAGTCCATGGCGTTGGATGCTAACATATGGGTCTCCATGGTGTTAGAAGCTAACATATGGGGTTCTTGGGCCATCAAGGGATCCACTCCTACTGTTACAGAAGTCTCCCCCACCAATGTAGTAGGCAGCTCCTGTGCTACCGTATTATAGGATTCCAGCGCTGTCGTCGAGGGCACCTCCAGGGACTGCGACACGGTCATCGTTGACAGCTCCGATGTTGTCACCACAGACTGAACAGAGATCTCCAGCGCCACAGTTGCCACAGGCTGCCCAGGCAACTCTGGTGCCCCAGGCTGCCCTGGCAACTCCAGCACCCCTGTTGCCAGAGGCTGCCCCAAAAGCTCCAATGCTCCAGCTGCCCCAGGCTGCCCTGAGAACTCCAGTGCCCCAGTTGCCATGAGCTGCCCAGGCAACTCTAGTGCCCCAGTTGCCACAGGCTGACCTGACAACTCCAGTGCCCTAGTTGCCGAAGGCAGCCCTGGCAATTCTGACACCCCAGTAACCGAAGGCTGCCCCGGCAACTCCAGCGCTGTCGTTGCCACTGACTGTCCTGGCAACTCCAGCACCATCGTTGCCTCAGGCTGCCCCAGCAACCCTGTTGCCGTTGTCACCTCAGGATGCCCAGGATGTTCCACCGTTGTCATCCCCACAGGCTGCTCCAACTCTGTCGTCGTCACAGGTTGTTCGGTCAACTCCATTGCTACCGTTACCGCAGGCTGCCCTGGCAACTCTACTGTTGCTGTCACCGCAGGCAGCCCTGGCAACTCCTGTGCCATCACAGGTGGCTCTGGTACCTCCTGTGGTGGCTCCAACCCCACAGATGGTGCTGGAAGCCCTGGCAATTCCTGCGACAACTGTGGCACTGGTGTCACAGAGGGCCCCGGCAACTCAGGCACTGCTGTCGCAAGAGGCCCTGGCAACTCAGGCACTGGGGTAGAAAGGGGCCCTGGCAACTCTGGCACTGGGGTAGCAGAGGGCCCAGGTAACTCCAGCACTGGAGTCACAGAGGGCCCCTGCAACTCCAGCACGGAGGTCGAAGGTGGCCCCGGCAACTCTATCGCTGAGGCCACCGACGACTCCGGCAGCTCCAACGCTGTGATCTTAGGCAGCTCCAGCAACTCCTGCGGTCTTGTCATGGATGAATCTGCAATCTGCGATGGTACTTCTATAGGCTGCTCTGGCAATCTTAGCACTTCAGTTGCAGATGATTCTGGAAAATCCATTGTTGTTGATGTGCTTGGCTCAGGGTGCACCTCAGTAGGTGTCTCTGATGATACCACAAAGGTTTCTGATGGTTCTAGCACTTTTGCTACTGGAGGCTCTACCAACATGATCTTTGATGGCTCCGGAGATGTGCTCTCTAAAGATTTCAGCATAGATTTCATCTGGTACTCCACTGACATTGTTACAACTGGCTCAGATGACTGCTGCACTACTGTTGTAGTAGGCACTGGTGCTGTTGAAAAGAAATCTAGAATCTTTGTCGTGGATGGTTCCAGCGTTACTGCCACAGACTGTTCTGACTGCTCTGAGATTACTGATGTGGACGCAACTGACAGTTCCGCAGTTTTTATAGCTGGCTTCGGAGTTTCTAAGATGTATGACTCTGATACCTCCATCGATACAATAGGAGGTTCTAGCACAACTGCAGGGGATTCACTGGTCTCAGACAGGCCAAATGCTCTTATAGGATGCTCCAGTGCCATCGCTGAAGGTTCAGAATCAAACTTTAGAAATGACTCAGATTCTAAATCTATGTTCCCATCATGATGAGATTTCGGCTTTGACTCAGATTCTTCTGGCTGTCTTTTATATTTTTTTTCCTTTTCTTTCTTCTTTTTCTTCTTTTTGTTTTTGTGCTTTTTATGCTTCTTTGACTTTTTGGTGGGAATTTCATCAGTAGGATCTGTTTGTACAGATACACATCTACTTTTTCTGGAGGCCTCTTTCAGGTCTGAAAGTAATGGAAATTAATTTTGTCAGACATTCCTCAAAGTAGATTTAGATAAACCATATACACTAATGTTTACATTCCATGTTAAAACACCATAGTATAACACCTCAGGATAAATGAAAAGTTACCAAATAAACTATTTTCCATAAACCAATTAATCTTAAGATTGCCACTTTTTCAAACTAAAGCCTGGGCTAAAAATAAACTCTTAGGGCCGGCCCGTGGCTCACTCGGGAGAGTGCGGTGCTGATAAAACCAAGGCCACAGGTTCGGATCCCATATAGGGATGGCCGATTTGCTCACTGGGTGAGCGTGGTGCTGACAACACCAAGTCAAGGGTTAAGATCCCCTTACCAGTCATCTTTTTAAAAAAATAAATAAATAAATAAAATAAACTCTTAGTTTATCACCAAAACTTATTTAGAATTACACTGATACATTTTACTAAATTATACTAAAATGATTATTTTCTCCAGCTCTCAAATAATAGCAAATTACTTTTAACCTATAAGTATCAATTGATGTATTTCCTATTAATTGTTATAATTCCTATTAAAAATACCTAATTTTTGCAGTTATTTTACTAACCCGTTTATACAAGAAACAACATGGTGTTGGCTCTGAACAGACTGCCTGATTTTGGATCCTGAATTGATCCAACACTTCCTAGGTAAGTGGCCTGGGCCAAATTACTGCACACCACGGATTCCAGAGTTAAGAGGAGGGAGTTAAAACAGGCAAAGTACATCGAACAATGCCTGGCACAGAGTAAGCTCAAAGCAAAGGTTAGTGATTGCTCCTATACAGTATACAAATATCTGACCAACAAATATAAAGCATCAACAGAGAAACTGAATTTTGTCTATCACCCCTATGTTACACTGAAATAAAAATAACTTCCCCCAATACTCTTCTAAAATTACTAGGAAATAATATTTCAAATGTTTCTATTTTTTTTTTTTGTGACCGGTAAGGGGATCGCAACCCTTGGCTTGGCGCCACCCGCACCGTGCTCAGCCAGTGAGCACACAGGCCATCCCTATATAGGATCCGAACCCGCGGTCTTGGCACTCCCAGCGCCGCACCCTCCCGAGTGAGCCACGGGGTCGGCCCCTTAAAAACTAATAATAAAGCGATTGGGGGAAAAAAATTCTTATAGCCCTTAACATGTAACTTAAGACCACTTGAATTTGCATATCCTAGAGAGAAGGTAGTTTATATTCCACTTTACAACCAAATGGGATTTACTCTAATAATGCCAATATCAAATTAGATAAATCTCAGAGACCCCAGAAAAAACTGATAAGAAATCCTGGCCATTAAGCCTATGGAAAAAATAAATCAACTCACAAAGCATATGCCAAAGCAAAACTAATCATTTTCTATTAATCGTTTATTTCAGAACACCAAAGGTACATTATCTAAATTATACTTCAATCAAGAAAAGGTTGCTAGAGCCACGAATCTAAGCATGGCTAAAGTCTGTGCTTTTTAAAACCACATCCTACAGAGAAGCAAAGCAAAGAGAACGATATCACACACCTAATTCCAAAACTAAGTGGAGATAATGACTTATTTTTGTAGTTAATCATAAATCCTTCATTTCTCAACATCAATTATTTAATCAATTCCAAAAAATTAAGTATCTAAGCAATGATCCCTCTCACTCATTGCACTTTTAAGTGGGGTAGATGCAAAAACAAGACAACCTCTAAGCTTGAGCTTTGAAATAAAACCTCCCAAGATGTTTTAAAAATTGCTACAGATGTGGTCCAGGCTACCATACCTTCCAAAATTGATATTTACACAACTGTTCAACGAAAACCCACATTCAAATTCCTGGCACTGAGACTGTACAAAAATGAATGAGATAAGGAAAGAAATTACATTCCACCAGCAAAGCGAACAAGTGCATCAATGTTCATGTCTCAGTGCAATTATATTTTCGAAGGAGGATTTAAACAAGAAAATATTCAGTAAAGCAATTAAACAAAAGCTTAAATTTACTAAAATTTTAGACTTACTGAACATTTTAAATAACCTATAGTCAAAAAATACTATTAACCTTCAAATCTCAAAAAAAAAGTCTTAAAACAAAATTTTTGAGACAGCTGATCATCTCCACCTTACCTGGCTTATATCGTAGTTCTGTATCTAAGACCCCAGAAAGTACTTCTTCTATCTTCTGCACTATTTCTTCATTTGGTAGGCTCCTGGCAGAGGCAGCTGCATCACCTGCCTGGTTTCCTTCAATAGGTGTATTTGTTTCACCATTCAGCTGGCCTTCATTCCTTCCACTTGACAAGAAAAGTTATCAAAATTCATTAACATTTTATCACACTATACAATAAATTAATACCAATAATTCAATTAATTAAAATGATTTTATATCATATTATATTATCCATACATTTCCCCCTTTTCCTATTTCAGATATTCACCACTAATGGTGCTTTCTTAACATTATCTACATACCGTTACAGCATTTTCATTTTCACACAGTCTTCAGAACCGTCAAAGTTAAGAAAAAGTCTTTAAGACAGGCTTCTACGTGACTCTTTTTTTAATAAAATAATTCCAGAAATCTAACCTGAGACTTCTGGGTTACCTAAATAGTTCTCTTAGGAGAGAAAAATTAATAAATCCAATCCAAATACGAAGAAAAATATATGACCTAACATTATGGTGGAAACTATGGCCACAATAGAGCCACACCTATGCATAAATCACAATCCCCAACAGTATCAAGACCACAAAAGTTAGCCACAGACACACTGAGTCAAAAGGATAACGTGTAGCCTCTGTTCAGGCTGAGACTGCTACCAAAATGCCATAAAGTTCCGAAAGAAAACTACCAAAAATCCTGGTGTTAAAATAAGTTCTCTAAAAATTCACAGAAAATTAGTGGCAATTCATTTATACTAACAGTAAAAGGACGAATGGCTTATTTTCAATTCACCAGCACAGAAGAAAAACATATATAAGAACCAGTCATTTTCACTATTTTTGTATAATTTTATAAAATTTTGAAAAATCAAATAATTTCAACACATTCAATTTTAATTTAACTTCAATTTTAGCTAATTGAAAATACATAAACAGTTATGCTCCAATACCAGATAAAAATCTGAATGGTCAAAAAACAAAAAATCCAGTAGTTAACTAAATGTGTTATTAAGGTGTATTTGGTTTTATGACACAATAAGTCATGTAATAATAAATATTTATTGACTACTAGTGTCACACTGTTCACTTTTAAACCCATTTACTCCTAATAAGGATCACCACTATTATTCTGATTTTATAAATGAGAAAAATGAGGCACGAAGATGACTAAAAACTTAGATGAAGATCACACAGCTACTGAGAAATGAAACTGATATTTAAAACCAGACCCCATACTCTTAAAAACCATATATATACAATAGTTAGAGAACTTACTTTAACTATCTACATGTTAGCCTTAGATACCTACATCACCTACACTGATGTATGTAAAAGTAGATGGGAAAAAAGAAAATATAGATCACTGAAATGGTAGATACTCAAAAATTTGTTTCTAGACTGACAATGCATTATGTAGTTTGAGAAGAAGCTAATAATAGTAAACTGCTTTGTCTAATGTTCTTTTTAGACATTTTTCCTGGAGCACTTTATTTTACTTTCCTAAGCACTTATACAGACATAATTATCACAGATTTAAAATCAGAAAAGCAACTACAATAAAAAAAAGTCAGTTTATAAGGGAACAATAACGATTTCATCTTAAAGTTACCAGAATGTTCACTGCAATTACTGAAAATTTCAAACCACCTAAATATCCAATAATATATTCCTACAACCGAATTCTATGCAGCCACGAAGAATGTCCAAACGACTGAGACTGTCGTGGACAAACTTGTTCACAATACATTAACATGGAAAAACAATCAATACGAAACAAGATAATCACATTTCACAAAACACATGGGTATCTGTATGCACAGGGAAAGAAAATTAAAGGACATAAAGAACATCAATAACTGGTGGTTTCTATTTTCTTTTTTATGTTTTCTGCATTTTCTACAATAAAACACTCATTTTCTAATAGATTTTTAAACCCTACAAACACAAGACTTATGAAACCAGCAAACAACTACTTATTGTATGCAACTATTAAAGAGTTTTCAAGAAAATAATATTCCTTTAGCTCAGGTCTCTTTTCATCCTAAAAACACCAGCTATATCACAAAAATTTAAAAAGCAATCTAGTGACCGAATACATTTCCCACATAAAAAACAACATATCCTGCAAAACTAACAATTTTAGCTATACATCATTGCTCCAGGAATCCTATGTTAATATGGGCACTTAATTTACAATTACGTTATCGGCTGATTTTCAAATTCTTACCGCTTTTGCCATTAACTTTCAAAATACAATTAGCAAAAATATTGGAAGAAATATTTACGTATCCAGATCTCTTTCCTACCTCTGTACTTTAAAGAAATGAGTACTTTGTCCAAAGCAAAAATACTAAAAGAACCACTCATCAACCTGACCTACACTATTTTCCTTTCTAACAACTATTTCTTTAGAAATCTCTTCCCCTTCAAATTTCGTGGAACCAAGGATAAACTATGTTAAGTCCAATAACAACAGCAAAAACAACGTTGGTCAAATACATCAACTGGGGCAGGGACAGCAAGAAAAATAGATCTACACACAAAGTCCACTATTCACTAACTAAAATTAAGTAATCACTAGCATTTCGAAGTCTCCCTCCATTCACATCTCAAATATTTTATCAAAGCAGCTAATTCATTTGAGCTGTTTCCATCTAAATCCCTATTCGAATACTGTCTGATGGAAACCATAGGACACTAAGGCCCGAATAATCTAATTAGTGGATCCTGACCCCCAAACGGCCTAAAGCTAGCAATAATAAAACGGATTTAAAATTACCCAAGAAATAGCCGTTAGAGACCCTTTCCGGTCATAGGCACCGGCCGGCGAAATCCGCGGAGGCGGAGAGGGGGAGGGGAAACGCGGCGGCGGTGGCGGAGGAGGAGCTGAGGAGGGAACTAGGCCCGGCCCTGGTGGACAACCAGGCCTTCAAGTGGCTAAAGGATAAGGGGTGACCAAACTGGAGAGAAAGATGAGCATCTTAACTCCGTTGTAAAGGAGAGAGTCTGGGGTTACCTCGGAAGAGGCGAAGTTCCTCGGAGGGAAGGGAGGGAGCGGATGAGTGAGTTGGGGGGGGGGCCCGGAAAATGGATCCCAGGCCCAGGCGGGGCCGTAGCGGGGCCTGAGCCGGAGAACGACGGCATCTCTGAAGAAAAGCGCCATGGAAGGCTAGGTGAGGCCCTAGCGGTCCATTAGGAGCGGAAGTGTCTGGGAGGCGTTTACCTGGAAAGCTCCTGTTGAATTTCCCGGAATTTACTGACCACGAAAGACCTAAAAATCTGCTCGATGTTGGTCGCCATGGCGTCCGCTCCGTTCTCTCAACTCCTCCTCGCTAGTCCTCCAGGCTCCCAGCATGCCTCGGGAGGAGGCGCAGCGGCCAATTCGGTCTCTCGCTTTTCTGATTGGCTCCTATGGGAGCGTCCCGACCGGCACGCTCCAGTGACGAGCCAATCAGTGGGCACGGTCTCGCTCTCCTCTGCTGTTTCTGAGCCGCTGTGGTAGAGGTGCTGACGTTTGCGCCGCGCACGACTGTGTCCGCCATGTTAGTGTCTGACGCAGGCGCCATTATAGGAGAAGTCCCTCCTGAGGCCACTGTTGTCAGCTTAAGTTGTCACTCTCAAATGTTTGGGGGTTTAAGAGGATTGGTGTGGCAGCTAACCGCTTCAGAGTAAAGGCCGTGAGGAAAGGGAGCAAGAAGAGCAACACGATGTTTTGCACAGGGCCTCCAAGCTTTCGCAGGCGGTGCTAAGTTCAGTTTCCTTAGGGAAATGCATTCGGGGAAGAACTAATCAGTCTCCGCCCGCTTTGTGGTGTGAACACGAAGAACACGCTCTTCTGTCTCTCTCCCATTGCATCCTATAATCGGCCCCGATTTTTTTAGCAATAGGCCGAGAGGTCCTGAGCGACCTGCGTTCAAAGCCTGGTGCGTTCTAGTCAGGAGCCAAACGTGTCACGAGACTTTTCCGCAGTGGCTGGTCACACACAGCTAAATGTGGGTTTAGCATTTTAGCGCTCCCACTCCTCAGAGTTCAGGAAGCTCTCGGGGAGGAATGGAGACGTGAGATGGCACGGGCACCCTATACTACAGTGTTACATTATAAACGTGCCAGGACTTCGGTAGCGTTGCTCGCGAGCAGGCTCAGGCCGCACCCAGGGCGGGAGGCAAACACACTTGATTACGCCGACGCGGAGGGGGGGGAATCAAAGGCGACACAAACCAATGGGGAGGGGAAGCCCGGGGCGGGGCGCTCGGGGCGGGCGCCGGATCCCTCTGGGCCGACTTCCGGAGAGTGGGCAAGAGCAAGTGGCGTGGCCGTCTGGTGTCGGTGTGTAAGCCTCCTCCACTTTTAAATGGGGTACATTTATACTTTGGTGTGGGAATTTAATATCAGGAACTGAATGAAACTGTAGGAACTGGGTTGGATGTAGAAATTGTTCTTATTTTTGGATGCGGTGGACGGGAGTTGGCCATGTGCTTTACGCTTCTATTAACTGAAGTTTACATTTGATCACTTTCCCTGCTTGCCAAGATATCAAGGCCTTTATTTTATCATATATTCTCGTTATGCACCCGTTGTCTCTAGCAGATTATTTGGCCACTTTTGTAATTGGTTTCTATTTTGTTTTATTCCCCAAATCCTTTGATATGGCTTTACCTGGCTCGCTTATTCTCTTTATAAGTTACCCCTCTGAAAGACTAAAACCCAAGAAGGTTAGTTAAGTCCCTCAAGGTCTCCCAGCTAGTATGGAGCAAGGTCTGTTGCATCCATCCTGCTCAGACTCAGGTGCCAAAACTTAAGTGAAATACGTTTGAATTTGATTTTTGCCTTCTCTACCAATTTTCTAATATATTGCATATCTTCTTAAATCAGGCATCAAGCAGTGTCCCACATGCCAAATCCATCTGCCACCTATTATTGTACAGCCCACTAAATAAAAATGGTTAGGGAGAAAAAGGAAAAAAATGTTTTTATGACGTGAAAATTATATGCAATTTCAAATTGCAGTATCCATACATAAATTTTTATTGGGACACAGTCATGCTTATTTGTTACAAACCTTTGCTGGCTTCCTATTGCTTACAGCACTGATAGGCAATGGCCTCTGGCTCACTGTCTGTTTATGTAAAATAAGTTTTTTTGAACATTGGCACATTTGTCCATTTATGTGTTAGCAATGGCTGCTTTCATACTACAGTGGCAGAATTGAGTAGTTATTGACAGAGATTGTATGACTCTCAAAAGCTGAAAGTATTACAGATAGTTTGCTGACCCACCTCTTCAATATTTATTTATTTATTATGACAACTTTAAAGTTTGTTATCTATTAAATCTCAAGGTTTGAAAACATTTTAAATTTTGGGTCTAAATTTTAAAAATCAAGATTCATTTTTCTTAACTAAGGCTTGATGATTTTCAAATCTTCTAAAAGTGAAGCCCAGAGAAGGAAGATTATTTGTAGATTACTTATCAGATAAGTCTCTAAATCACCATTCCATCCTTAAACTAGCTTACCTTATGATTACAGTCATTTCTCAAGTTATAAATCCCAATTTTATTTGTTTTTTTTTTAAATTTTAATATTTTGGGGGGGCCAGCTGGTCAGTACAGGGATCCAAACTTTCGACCTTGTTATAACACCAGGCTCTAACCAACTGAGCTAACCAGCCAGCCCATGAATCACTGAATGAAAATATTGTTTGTATGAGTACAAGTGATTACTTAAAGTCACATTCAGAAAACATTACTTCTAAAGTGTACATTCTAAAATATCAACTATGATTTTCTTTCTGCAGGTTTCATTGTTCTTTGGAATTCCTGCTTTGCAGACAGAGCAATGGCAGCCCGAGTACTTGTAATTGGCAGTGGAGGAAGGGAACATACACTGGCCTGGAAACTTGCACAGTCTCATCATGTCAAACAAGTATTGGTGGCCCCAGGAAATGCAGGCACTGCCTGCTCTGAAAAGATTTCAAATACTGGTAATCATGTTTTTGTTAACAAATTGCCAACCATATATGTTCTTTATAATAATAAAGATGGACGGCTATTCAGGTTTGAATGCTTTCTTTACCCTTAAAATACGAGGGTATTTTTAGAATTTCATAGAAAAATAGAATTAAAAGGTAATAAAAACAAATCTTTCCGTGAACTTTTTGAAGTACCCTCATGTATGTGGTCATTTGAATACTTGCCATATGTTGTGAGCTTAAGGTATCCTCTTGTTCAGAATGTGGCATTTCCTTATCTTAAATTATTTTAAAGATTATGAAACAAATCAGTTGAAAGAGTAGCAAGTTCCTAATATAGTTTGAAGGCATTTTAGTGTGTATTTTTTGAAGTGAAAAGTTGAGCAGTGCTATCAAATGTAATTCCTAGCAGTTCTAACTCCACAATAATTCTCAACCCTTATCTCTTTGACTGGTAAAAATGAAAAAATGATTAGTTTATATGCTACATTAAATGGCACTTAGAATAAAACGCAAACTTCTTACTGTTCCTTACAAAGCCCTTTGTGCAATCTGGCTTCTGCTTTCCTTTCCAGCCTGATCTTTTATATCCTTTGTTCTCTTTTTACTCTTCTCTATCCATGCTGCCCTGCCAATTTCCCAAACATAGTTAGCTGCCCTGGACTTTGTATTTGTTCCCACCCCTAGCATGATTGGCTCCTCATCATTCAGGGCTCCACTTAAAGGTTACCTCCTCAAAGAGGTCTTTCCTAAAGTTTCCAACCAAAGCAAGTGTCCACCTCATTTTATTTCATTTGTTTTCTATCATGAACCATTGACTGTATTTATTTTTACTTTTCTATTATCTGTCTTCTATCTCCTTTTACTCCCTAGAATATAAGCTCTAGAATGTAAGCTCCATAAGGACAAGGACTTGTCTGTCTTGTTTTGCATTGTTTGCACAGTGCTTAATACCCTATGTGGCACTTAATATTTATGGAGAGAAGAGCATAGACCCAACAAGCCATAAACTAGGAGAGGATAGTTGCATGTACGTAAGACAAAAACAGTAAGAAAAAGGCAAATAACAAAATATCTCCTTTTCTGGGATCTTAGCTCTAGGGGTGAGTGAGATATTATATCTTTATTGAAGAACTGGCACATTTTATCTACATGTAATTGAGATCACACAGGCAAGCCTATGAAAATTTCCCAAGATTGTCATGAAACTTCTACCATTTGAAGTTAGGTGTGTCCTCTTCCTCTCGTTGCCCTCTGCTGTATTGATTTAATTGGCCCTGCTCAGCTCAGTGGTATCTGGAGCTACTAACCCAAGGTGTATGGTATGCCACCCTTACCACACTCAGGCAGTTTCTGTAGAGAACACTGCCTTTTCTGGACTTGGACCCTGTATGCCACAAACATCATGTTTTGCCAAGTGATTTGAGACTTCAGCTGACTTAAGAATGGCGGTGTAAATACATTGAAGCAGGAGAGCGCCTATAGAACCAACCCAGGTTTAGTATGTGGTTGATCCTACTGCTAGTTACTTAACTCCATCAAGAAAGAAAATTTACCTGCCTTATAGGTTGGAGAAGAGTCCCATGTTTTAGTTAAAATTATCATCCAGTTAACCTAAACAGCTTTGTCTCAAAGAGACCCTTCCTGACTCTACCAGAAATAGCCTCCCAATCCACCTCATATCAAATTTGTTTAATTTGTTCATATTTGCTATTATTTTGTTTGTATATGTGTTAAGTGTAGAGCCCCTGTTTGTGTTAGCATCTTAACTCTGGTACCTAGTACAATACCAAACACGTAGTGGGTTTTCAGGAAATCTTAAAAGAGGAGTTTCTAAATACATTCTGTGGTATGTTTTTTGTTTACTATAAAGTCAACACTGGTGACATAGACACCGTAATCAAAAAGGTACTTTATGGCTCTTTGGGAAGTTTACTGGTATTTTCATCTAACTTGCTTCAGTAATAGCAGAGAATTGGGCTTTATTGATTAGCCTAATGCCCTTTACTCTGAATTTCTCATAGTGAAACTATCATCTGTACCAATAAAAAAAAAAACCAACAGTTAACAGACATACTAAAGTACAAGTACTTACTTTTTAGCGAGGCACTTAGTTAATGTAAACAATGTTTTTGTAAATGCGATTGGTTGGTTTTTTCTGTTCACAGCAATCTCAATCACTGATCACACTGCCCTTGCTCAATTCTGCAAAGATGAGAAAATTGAATTTGTAGTCATTGGACCAGAGGCACCTCTGGCTGCCGGTAAAGTTCATTTCTTTTTATTTTTACAGTATTTTCAGTGCCAACAGGAGCTTAGGGATCATCTAATCCAATTCATTTTATAGATGAGGACTTATATTGGAAAAAGAGATTTCACCCTCTTGAAATTTATGGCTTCTAGATATTCTCCTCAACATCAGTAAAGTGATGAGTTTTGATATGAAATTTGCAGCCAGAGGAAACATTTTATGTGTCTTTATTCTGCTCTATTCTGATGTCTGTTTAATAACCCATATATTGGAATATAACAAATAACTTCTGCTGGATTTGAATCACATGTAGCATTTTGTTTATATCCAGTAGATAACATGTAAACTAGTTACCCACTTCCACCAGTCATCTGCCTTGTCTAAATGTGGATATAGTCTAATCATAATTTATCTTTAGTCTGAAAAGCCCATAGAGAGACCTTGGTTCAGCCAAGTCTACTGTTTACATCAACAGGAATTGTTGGGAATCTGACCTCTGCAGGAGTGCAATGCTTTGGCCCCACAGCAGAAGCAGCTCAGTTAGAGTCCAGCAAAAAGTTTGCCAAAGAGTTTATGGACCGACATGGAATCCCAACTGCACAATGGAGAGCTTTCACCAAACCTGAAGAGGCCTGCAGCTTCATTATGAGGTAGGTAGAAGGCTGCCTGTGAAGGGCTGTCATTTTGTTATGATATTTAAATACAGGGGTCACTTTTTTGTTTAAAATGTAATGCTAGGTCTTTAGGTTTTCATGAGCTTATAGTAAGAAAATTATGGATAAAAACATTCTCAGGTCTGGCCTGTTAGCTCACTTAGAGTGTGGTGCTGATAACACCCAGGTCACGAATTTGGATCCCCATACTGGCCAGCCACCAAAAAAAGAAAGAAAAAGAAAACATTCTCAATAAATACTAGGTAGATTGCCTTTTTCCAACACCAAAATAAAGTGGCATTCTATTCATATGTATGATCTTCTGCCCTGGCAGAAAGATGAAATTTTTTTTTTTTTTTTTTTTTTTTTTAAAATTAA